AATAAAAAGGACTTCGGAAAAGAAAAAAACGTGTGGTGGGGAGAATGCTTCGGTATAATAAAATGCTCCTAAATATTAAAATAAGTAACTAAATGGGGTAAAATAAAAATTTAACAAAGAACATTAATTTGAAACATTCTCTAAATATCTTTTATAAATGGGAACAAGTTAAAAATAATACTCTCCCCTGTTCCAAATATAAGCATCAAATCTATGAATGGGCTTGGTTTCTTCATATGCATTAATTTGGATTTGTCTAACTATTTAATTTTTTTTATTTTTACCCCCAATTAATTTTATGTATTTCTCACCTCTTTTTTTTTCTCATTCGTTCTTTCTCATATCTTTTTCTGCTCATTTTCTATCCCACTGACCCTCTCCATAAATAAGGCCATTTTAAGAAAATAAGTTAAATTTTTTAATATATTTATTAATTTTAACTAATTTTAACCAATATTTTGGGCTATGTAATTTAATTTATTTGATGCTTATATTTTGAATTGTGATACGGGAACAATCTTACTAATCAAAGACTCAACCTTACAAGATAACAAATCAGCCATTCTAAGGATGCTTTATCTTAAACTCTTGGGTGACATACGAGACAATGATCGTATTTACTGATTTCGGGTATCAACTACCCCTTTTTTTCCTCTTAGTTTTCCCCTAATTCCCAAATGTTTTTTTAATTTTTATTATTATTAAATTCTACATAAAATAAGTACTCCATCTGTCCCTTTTTATAAGCACCAACTACCATTCTTCTCTTGTCTCTAAATATAAGTAACATTTGTAAGTTGTCTTAAATTTTTATAGCAAATTTTCTATTTTTTCTCCATTAATTACTTATTTTAATATTCAATATATTTATTATCTTATTTTCCATATCATTATTTTTTTATCACATATTCTCTTTCTTTCATAAGTTTTTATTATAATAATTTTTTTATTTTCTTTCTTATACTCTCTCTCCCTTATAAATAAGGGTATTTTGAAAAATGATCTATGCAATGGAGCCTATATTATTTATAATAAATCACATTTTATGTAGAATCTAGTAAAGTGGAAAACCTCCTTCCATGTCCCAGTGTGATTCCTTACATACACTAATTGGTCTCTTTCCCCGGCTGGCTTCTGTGCCCTTCCATTTGAACTCTTTCCCATTGATGATTCCCCTTTTCCCTTGACGGGAAAGAATCCAAATACCACAATCAAGAAAGAAGACATAAAATCAACCTAGAAATTATTGCGAACCAAATCATGAAAAGACAATAATTGGAAAATTGTCGGCAAAATAATTTGCAGTATGGAGAATGATCTTGCTGGCACAACGATAGTTTGGAATGTGGAGAGAGACATAAAGTGTCATTTTAAAGCTTGCTTAGAACGCCTTATAAATAACTTTTCAAACGTAATTTATAGAATATGAGATAAGTATGTGAAAAAAATTTTGTTTCGACTTGTATGAAAGTAATTATAAATATTTTTGCGACACTGATCCAAACAAACCCTTAATAATCTAATTCTAACACTATATTGTAAGGTTCATTAATAAAAAAAATACCCACATTAAAATTTTAAATGTTAATAAAAATATTCAAAAATATTTATATATTAAATTTAATTGTTCAAAATAACAACGATTGACATAAAATATTTATGTGAGACTAATTAAGATTAGGAGACTGGAAAAATACTTTAAAAATTGAGGGAGTTACGTAAAATACCTGTTAAATTTTAAAATGATAAATTAGTAATTTTAATAGATTTTAAGTACTCAAAACCATTATATGAATAGTCAAACTCATTACAAGAGTAATTAGTATGACCTATTTATCTTTTTAAAAGTCAATATGTATTTTTCTGTCATTTTTCCTTATGCCTTTCACTTAGCAAATTAACAATGGGTAAAAATACAGGAAAAAAGAAAGTTGAATTTCAAAAAATTAAAAGGTTCACTTGAACTAATTCCACATCATTCATAACAAATAAATTAGAATTTTGAAATGTTAGTAAATTTATAATGTTGGCCTTTATTATTATTATTTTAAAAAAAGCCAAAGGTACAATATTACTCATAATCTTATTTTTCAGGTTTATTCAATATTAGGATCTTTTAAGCGGTGTAATTTTACTTAGTGACTTTTTTTTGGTGCCCAAAAAATTGGGGATAAAATTGGACCAATAAAATCATCCAGATGCTAGGCACGCTTAAAAAATACTCCCTCCGTTTCTTATTATAAGAGACATTTGATGCTTATAGCATGTTCCTATATATAAGAGACACTTACAAGTTGTCTCTACTTTTTTGTGTTGATTTACTATTTTACTCATATTTATTATTTCCAACTCACACTCTCTCTCCCTTCCACTTCTCTTTCTTTTAATAATTTAATTGTTCTCTCTCATGTTCTCTCTCCTTATTAATGAGGGCATTTTTGAAAAAAAATTATACTTTTTACACATTAATTATTCTTAACTAATTTTAACTGTTTTTTTTATCAACATACTTCGGTTATTTATCTCTTATAATAAGGAATGGAAGGAGTAATATCAAGAATAAAAATGCACATTTGTCCTTTTGAAAAGCCTCAAGTCTCCCTCACCCACCAGCTAGCTGGCGGCAGGTGTTGAGGCTATAGTAGGCTATCGGTAATGGAGCTTCGATAGGCGACTGACGTGTGACAACTATTTTTTTAGAATTTTTTTCAACATTTGTAACTTGTATGACAACTTATATAGTGATATTCATAACTCTATTAAACATTATTTATTAAAAAATTGTAAAAAAAGATCTTAAAATTACAAAAACGTAGATAAAGGCCTTTGACAACTTTATTATAACTTTTGACAATAATAATATGTCATGAAGTTGTCAAAACCCAAAATAAAATTGTTAAGGGTTTTTATCTGCGTTTTTACAATTCTCAAGTCTTTTTTTATAATTTTCCTATTATTTATCACGTGTTTTTTTTAGGTTTCTGAATTAGATTTTTTTCAACATTTGAAACATGATTGATAACTCTTATAAAAATATTCACAACTTTATTAACACCATTAATAACTTTATATGACAGGTTTTAGGGTATTAAAAATATTAATAATTTAACTACATTTACTTAGTTTTAGTAAAATAGATCCCGCGGATGGATGGATCACGTGGACATGTTGTTTAGTGAAAAAGCTTCTTGAGCTTGCAGGGTCCCACTCACATATTCTTTCCGTTTACGTACTTGTATAATCCTCTTCCGTCCCCACAACATTTAATTTTTTAAATGGGTCTATTTTTTTTTATAAATTTTTTTAGTTTGTTTGAATATTTAATATATTATTATTTATTTTGTTCCTAATTTAATGTATTTAATTTTTTTTATTCATCTTACTATTATTTTCTTATATCTACCTATTTATATATAGGGGTATTTTTAAAAAAAATTATATTTGTTACATATTAATTACTTTTAACTAATTTTAACGGTTTTTTTAAACTGTGTAATTTAATTAAAAAGATTTTATAATAAGTGACGGAGTGAGTAAATCTTTAAGGGAACAATTCGGATTTTGAAAGGACGTCACATTGATCTGCACCGCTTTACCATTATATTACCATAAAATCTAAACAGTTTAAATGTATTTTTGAATGATTAAAATTAAAATTTTATAAAATAAATCTCAAAATCCAGAATAAATCTGGACGATGGGGATTTCCGTCCTCATCACGGAACACGGAAACCAATTTCTTAACAAAAAAAAATGATTCTCAAATGTCATGATCTAATATACTATCTTCAGTTATAAGAACTAATTGATTAATTTGATAGATTAAGAAAATAGGTTAGTTAGTTATTAATAATAAATAGGTATTATCTTTTTTAAATATTTTTATTAATCAAATGTATTGATTAGAATTATTATTATTAAAAAACATTATCTTAAAAAGAATAAACAAATATGATATACGAAGTGAATTGACGTTTAGAGTAAAATAAAAATCAAATGGCATGTTATATTTGATATACATTGGCCATGTCACGATCTAACACCTAATCATACTAACGTGTACTTGACAATTTGAGGGCATAATTTAATATAGGGTTAAATTCCCCCTCCCCCCCCCAAAATCAAATCATTATAGCTCTGAAATACAATTCTACCTATAAAATATCCTCTTGCGCGCACATGATGCTCGGTTTTTCTTTTGGGCCCCCTTTTTGGGGGGGGGGACCCATTCGACCATTCTCGGATGAAATAAAAAATGTTATATTATTCATCTGTATTTAAGCTTGTTCTTATTTTAAAAATATTTAGATAGAAACAAAATCATAGTTTTAAAAATATTTTTATAATATATAAGATAAATATGTGGAAGAGTTTGTCTCAATTTATAAAAAAATATTTTTAAAAAGTGATGTAGGATTACCCAAACATCCCCTCAGTATAATAAAATCAACTTATGTCCAGACACCGTAAATTTAGAAACATTATCTACACCTAACAACATGTCTTTTTGTTTTTTTTTTAACACTAGAAAGATTGATATTGTTACACCTAAAGAAATATTAGGTGCTTATTAAAAAAAAAGTTTTATGAGCAAATTTGTATGTTAAGGCCGGCTGTTTTCTCCCAAACAATGTTTATTCCATTTTCACACATATACATATTATCATCGTATTGATAACTTGTTTGGCAAACGGGAAAAAAAAATATTCCACACTTTAAGTCCGTCTTTACACTTTAGATTACTCTATCAGTATATATTTATGTTAATAAAATAAAACTCTTTTCACATATTTAACACCCTTTTGTAATGATATGTTGATCCTCCCACAGGTTCTCATCAATTTTGAGAAAGAAGAAACAATCTTGCTTTAAAATTAAGTTTTTTTTTTTTTACCATAATTCATAATTCTCTTATAGAAGATTCAATATATTAAAAACAACATCAATTCTATTTATATCAAGAAGGTTACCGATTATGGAAAATACACAGATGCTTGATCTCATAGTCGAGTCCGTGCTACTTTACTGGATGGCGTTAGCTCCGCTGGCAATGGCAAATCCACTGCTTCTATGAATTCACGGTCTCCAGCCAAAGCTTCCAGTATTTCGTAAGAGGCGCATAGTTCAACATCAAAGCTACCTTCTTCTGCTCCGGCATCGACCGCCAGCTTCCACTGCTTCGCATTGGCTCCGCCGCCGCGAACCGCCACTGGTCTTCCCCAACCGAAATCGATCTCATAAAAGTTGGTTCTTGGGGAGCTGCCAGTTGTCATGAACTTCCCGATTGTGGCACGTTGGGTACGCATTGTTGGATTTCGTACCCAGGCTTCAAAGTCGCTCTTGATCTTTTCTTCAGTGCATGATAAGATTTCCTTGTTCATCTCCCAAACAAACTTTCCAAAGCCTCCATCTCCCACTAAGTCCCTTACTTTCATCGTCACAGTAGTGAATTGCACGGTGATTCCAAAATAGTCGTCTGGAATTGGAGGGTGTGAGACTTTGGATCTAGCAGATATGAGGAATCTGTATGTGACTTCCTCTTCTGGGTCAAGATTCTGATTTCTGATTACAGACCTCCAAACATGGCCTAGAACAGCTTGCAAAGAGGAGATTTTGTTGCTGATGATACTATCTTGTACCTCTGAATTAGCTTTTGCTTTGAGTTTAGCAATTTTTGCTTTTGAAGGTGAAAGATCCTCCTTGAAAATGGAGGTGATTGGATCGAATCTGTTGACTCCTTAAGATGATGCTGCAATATTTTCCTGAATGGGATTGTTATGGGGCGCTCAATATTACCATGAGGAAACCACCGTTCAAATGAAGCGAGCTTCGAATTTGGGGCCATGTGGTTTAGGCCATTTCGAGAGATCTGAGCCCATGCGTTAAGAAATTCCAGTATGGCTTCACATCAGCAAGACAATGATTCATGGAACAAGCGATGAAGATGCCATCCACAAGCTCTGTGACTTGAACAGCCACTAATGGGACCCGAGTTGCTTCAAAGTTCTTGATATTACCTGGTGGGAAGAAGGAGGAGACAATCCGAGGAACATAAGTGGGTTCGAGGATGTCGGTAATTGTAGTGTTGTCTGCTATGCCATGAACAAAGCTTACTCCGGCGTTGTTACAAGTGATGAAGACGGAGGATGTGCCGTCGTCGCCACCGTGGGGGACAACAAGAAGACGGCCAGCAAGCGGCCGGAAGAAGTCGAGGGTGGAAGAAAGTGAGTCCTTCAAAAGTTGGATCACTGTTTCTCCGCGTATTGAAGATGATAAAGAGGCGGGTTTGTGAAAGAGAAGTCCCTTTTGACCATACCAAGAACTAGATATTGAAGATCCCATGGATTCAGATCGATTAGTTCAGCTGAGCCGCCATTGTTATGGCAGCTTCGTGCTCTGATCGTAGTAATGGAGATCAATCGGACAGCCTCCATGGAATGGGGTGTGTGGTCTTGGGTCTCGATCTCCGATTGCTTTTTATTTTTTTATAAAATGTTGTTAGCTCACCGGGGCTGACCAAAATACAAATAGAGCGCAAATTTTAATATATGAATGCTCTGGATATTATGAGTTTAGGTACTCCTCAAAGTGATGAATACCCAAACTAATTTCTTTACTCCTGTCTTATTTATAATGTAAAGAAAAATATGTTTTTTGTCATATTAATGAGTCATTTTATTAAAGTTTTAGCACAAATAATTAAATATACTACTCCTCCGATCCTTAATATAGGACCCAATTTTTGAGTTGGTTTTGGTCCTAAATATAAGACTTATTTCTCATATTTATTAATTTTTTCTAAATTACCCCTATAGATACTCCCTCAACCATAATCAAGTAGAAAAGGAAAATAGGGTATTAAAAAGATAATTATTGGTATTTTAGGAAAAACGTGTTAAATTTCTTATAATCAACTAACTTACCTAACTTCTTTAATCTAATCAAATTAGTTAAATGGGTCTTATATTAAAGACCGAAGGAGTATTTTATTTTTCATTTATTAAATGTACATAGTTACTACTCCTCCGGTCTTTAATGTAAGACTTATTTAACTAATTTGATTAGATTAAGTAAGTAGGTAAGTTAGTTAATTATAAGAAATGTGACATGTTTTTTCTAAAACATCATAATCATTTTTCTTAATACTTCTCTCCCCTTTCTACTTAATTATGGTTAAAGGCGTATCCATAGGGATAATTTAGAGAAAATTGATAAATATGATAAATAGGTCTTATATTTAAAATCAAAACTAACTTAATAATTAAGTCCTATATTAAGGACCAGAGGAGTATTTTGAAATGTGTATATATTAAATATAAGTAAAATTAGAAAGTTGTTATATTTTAATAGAATATTAACTCTATCTAAGGTTTTTTATAGTTTGTGTGAAACATGTTGAAAGTATCTTATAAATAGAAGGAGGAAGGAAAAAAAATCAAATGAAGAAAATCCAAAAGTTGGAAATTGGTCGGCAAAACAAGATAAACATGTTGATGTTTGTCAATTCTGTGACCACAATATTTTATTGATTCTGTGTATAAAAGTAATCCATATTACTACCTCCTATCCTTAATATAAGACCCTATTTGATTTTTATTTTGGTTCTAAATATAAGATCCCAATCCACTTTGTCTCTTATATTTATTCAATTTTTTTCAAGATAGTCCTTCTAATAATGATAGTTCTAGTCAGTACACTTGATTAGTAAAGATATTTTAGGAAAGATAACACCTATTTAGGATAAATAACTAACTCAACTTACTTTTTAATCTCCTTAAATTAATCAACTGGCTCTTATAATTAGAACCGGAGATAGTATTTCAGATTAAAAATTACTAAAATAATTTTTAAAATAAAAACAAACAAACACAGAATCATGTGAAATCACTTTTGATATATATATATATATATATATATATTTATATTTATCAGTTTTTAACTTTTTATCCCATAAACAATTAAACTATAGTGACGGCAACATTCTCTTATTTGAGACATATCTGGGAAATGAATAAATATCACGCGCTCATGTGGGCTATGATAGCGGCGTCGTCGGCCACTATCTACGTGTACTAATTAAACAATTACGGCAGTTGGAAGAAAACAATTAGAGTACCGAGTACGTAATTTAATATAGAAAAAATTATAATGAGATCCAAAAAAAATCAGAAGTTTTTATTTTTTTTAGTTCTTGTTTAGTAATTTTTTTTTTTAGGATTTCATTGTAATTTTTCCTTTAATATAATGAGATGGGCCCATGCATAAGAATAAACTTTAGAAAAATTGAGCTGTATATAACTTGTTACAATATTTTCCACATTGCAATAGTATATATAGTTCTTTTCAAAATCTCAAATAATGTCAATATAATTCAATTGTCCACTTACCACTGTACAGTGGGTCATGGATCTCAACAACAATAAAAATTTGTCATTAACAAAATTTTTTTTGTCAGTTCAGTGACAAAGCAATTTTTGAGGAGGCGAGATTAATTATTCACGGGAACCGGGAAGTTAGGTTCATTCATGTTGATAGGATACATGTTAGAGATGCTAACCACATGACAAAGTTAGCTCACAGCCTTATAGGAAATTTTTGTACTCTTAAGGGTGTTTGGCATCATATAAAAGTGTTTCTGAAAAATATTTTTCGTAAATCGAAACAAATTCTTTCACATATTTATTTCGTATATTGTCAAATTACTTTTGAAATTATAGTTTGGTTTTTATCCAAACAATCTCTCGGTCAAACTCCACCCTTTGATTTGATTTCTAGGTGGACATTTTATGTTACATTCAACTCTTTAAAATATTTTTGTTAGATAGGTCTAATACAGTAGACTAATTTTTGATACATCCAGTATCTTAAAATATTTTTTTTAAGATACATATAGCATCTAAAAATATTTTTGATACATTTAGTACCAACACACAAAAAAATATATTTTAGAGTGTTCGTTATATCTAAAAAATACTTCGAGACATTAGATACACTTGAGAAAATATTCTGAAACGCTGGATATATGTTAACTCGAAAGAAAAACGATTTGTAGTGCCGAGGACCACGTGGCCATCAAGAAGCGCCATGATTACATAATTGAAGATGACACGTACACGCATGTAAATTCTTATCCCTATGATAACTTACCATTTTGTAACTCATTCTTACATATAGACAAGCTCTTAAGGATGTCTTAAATTAATAGAAATTTTCAATGCTCTTATTAACTGTTTTTTATCTTAATAAATTTAGAAATAAGGTGTAAATTTAACCCGAAAATTTTTACTTATAAGTATTTGATACCTGGATTTTTTTTATACGTAAAGTTACCTAAAAGTTTAAAGCGTAGCAATAATATTACCCATACCATTAAAAATATTAACAATCAATATTGATAGAGTGATTTTAAACTTTTCAAGCAAATTTGCATCTACAAAAACTTAAGTGTTGAGCACTCTACTGTAAAAATTTTTAGAACAAATTTATATGTTAACTTAAACATTCACACATAATTTTCAACTCCCCTCCTCTTTCTGTCTTTCCAACAGAAATTAAGTGGGAATGAAATTGAAAAATAGTCATTAATAACCTTCTAAGTGATTTATATCTAGGAATTAGGACCAAATCCTATGCAGTGATTTATACCGTGGTGTTACATCCATAGATGCATAGCATTGTCTTGTTTGTGCATGTGAAAAAAAAAGCTATATTTTATTATTAGAAGAAAGATACAAAAAATACTCCCAAATCTGCAAATCCTAATTCAAGTCTTGAAAATAGGTTTATCGTTATGAAGCATCTAGGGACTAATTTTATGAAGCCTATAGGAACTAATATGGGATTAAATTTTGCAATGAAATTAATGACCTAAATATTCTTAATTTTAAATATGAAAAAAATTAAATGACAATATAAGAGGTCAATAAAAATAACAACTTTAACTTACTAAATTATAGCAATAATTGAGAGAAGTGACAACGAATTTTACAAAACTTCATAGTGATCAATATCCATAATAACAAGAGTTTAATAAGCAGTAAAAACTAGTACTACCTCCGGTCCTAATTATAAGAGCCAATTGACTAATTTGAAGAGATTAAGAAAGTAAGTTGAGTTAGTTATTTGTCCTAAAGAGGTGTCGCTTTTCCTAAAATATCCTTGCTAGTCAAATGTATTGACTAGAACTATCATTATTAGAAGGACGACTTTGAAAAAAAATATACAAATATGAAAGACAAAGTGGATTAGGGTCTTATATTTAGGACCAAAATAAAAGTCAAACAGGGTCTTATATTAAAGATTGGAGGTAGTACAATTTATCTAATGGAAAGTGAGGCAACACTAACCAATTTCACCAAAGGCAATAATTAAAAACATTTCACAAAACAACTTAGCTCCAAAAGAGTTTCAAAAACTTTAATTTCTTAAGAGTTTTAAGCCACTTCCATGAATAATTTTAAAATTTTCATAGTTTAGTTACCAATTATTGGATATATATATATATATATATAAAACTCTGCCTATATCATATAGCCGGTCCTAAGCTCAGATAAAGGAGGACAGTTGTGTTAGGCCCTCGACAGCCACGTAAAAACCCGTTGAATCTCATGAACATGGATCAACGAAGTAATTATATATATATATATATATATGGGGTTACCGGCCAACTACGAAAAGCACATAGATCCTCAATGTTATAGTCGAGTCCGTGCTACTTCACTACGCATTATTGGATTTTGTATCCAAGCTTCAAAGTCGCTTTTGACATTTTCTTCTGTGTATGATGAGACTTCCCTGTTCATCTCCCCTCAAAACTTCCCAAGGCCTCCATCTCCCACCAACTCCCTTACTTTTATCGTCATTGTGACACTCCAAAATGGTCATCTGCTGGAATTGGTGGGTGAGAAACTCTGGATCTGGCAGATATGAGGAATCTGGAAGTGACTTCCTCTTCAGGGTCAAGATTCTGATTTTTAATCGCAGAGCTCCAAACGTGGCTAATGACAGCTTCTACGGACGAGATTTTGTTGTTGTTGACACCCATCCTCTACCTCTGAACTAGCTTTTTGCTTTGAGTTCTGCGATTTCTTTCCTTTTAAAGTGAAAGATCCTCCTTGAAAATGGAGGTGATCGGATCGGATTTGTTGACTCCCTAATATGATTCTCCACAGTTTCTTTAAATGGGATTGTTATGGGGCGCTGAATATTATCATGAGGAAACCATCGTTCGAACGAAGCGAGCTTTGAATTTGGGACTATGTGGTTTAGACCATTTTGAGATCTGAGCCCATGTGTTCAGGAAATTCCAGACTGGCTTCACCTCAACAAGAGAATGATTCACGGAACAAGCGATGTGAGATGGGGATGTTAGCTGCACCTTCATTTTTGGGCTCTTCCTTTTTTTTTTTTTACTATTCTTTTTACTATTAAATTCTATATAAAATGAGTAATGTTTTAATATCTTATTTATAAAAAATAATTTAGTTTTCAATTTTTTATGATTTTTTTAAAGCTTTAGTGCTTTAAGTTAAAAAGAAATTAACCTAGTTAAGATGCTAAATCTTAGAGTACTAAATTTTAAAAAATCATAAAAAATTAAAAATCAAACTTTTTTTTTGGTAAATAAGACATCAAAATGCCACTCATTTTATGCAGAATCTAATAATAAAAATAACCTAAAAAAACATTTGGGAAGAACTTAAAATGAGGTGGCAGCTGACACCCCTCCTCACAAGCTCTGTGACTTGAACCTCATCACTGGGACTTGAGTGGCTTCGAAATTCTCGATATTAGCTGGTGGAAAGAAGGAGGCGACAATTGGAGGAGCATAGATGGGTTCAACAATGTCGGCAATTGTAGTGTTCTCTGCTATGGCATGAACAGATTTTACTCCGGCGTTGTTACAAGTAATGAAGACGGAGGATGTGTCATTGTCGCCACCGTGGGGGACAACAAGAAGACGGCCAGCAAGCGGCAGGAAGAAGTCGAGGGTGGATGAAAGTGAGTACTTCAAGTGTTGGATCGATCACTGTTTCTCGGCGTATTGAAGATGATAACGAGGTGGATGGGCTTGTGAAAAGAGAAGTCCCTTTTGAGCATACCCAAGAACTAGATATCGAAGATCCCATGGATTCAGATCGATTTGGTGAAGCGAGTCGCCATTATTATGGCAACTAGAATGAAGATCTAGAGAGAATGATATTTAATTATGGAAATTATAATTATTTTCAATAATTTAAAATCAAAATATAAATTTAAAAAATGAAAATACTAAATTGCCTTTATACTTAGTTTGGATGGGAAGAAAAATTGGGAGGGAAAAAAAATGGAAGGGGAGAAAATGGAGAGAGGAGAAAATTGAAGGGAAAATATTATCACCCATCTTATTCGGATGAATGAGAGAAAATAGAAAGGAAAGAAAATGAACAAATATGTTAATGATTAGAATATCCTTATCTCAATGTCAAAATATATTATGTTTAAAACCAAATTAAAGATCACAATAAAAAAATTATATGGACATTAATGTTATCAAATAATTTAAAATAAAATTAATTAATAAAAATAGATTATCATATTATTATATTTAGCAATCAAATAGTTTGGTAAAAATGTTATTTTTTAAAAAAGTGAAGTTTTTAAAAATTAAATATAATAAAACAAAATAAATAGAATATATATATTATTTAATATTGTTATTAAATAATAAAAATTTATTATAACAGTTGAAAGAGATGAAGAAATATATGTGTGTATCTGTGTTCACAGTTAGTGCAAATTCCCAGGATTGCATTGAATGTTAAAAAAAAATAGAGGTTATATGTTGGCTTGGAAGATTGGCCACTAGATCTAGATCCTTTCATAATCTTTCTTTCTCTTTTTCTTCTTAAAATCTCATCTCTAGTGTTGGACCAAATAATAGATGGTTCAGATTTAATATTTTAAAAAGGAAATGTCCATCTTCTCTCTCTTATTTATGCAATATTATAATAATAGTTTTATAAAGTATGAAATTTGAATCATTCATTAGTTGATCCAAAGATAGAGATTAGATTCTGAGAAGAAAAGGGAAAAAAAGGATTCTGAGAGGATACAGACGCTTTGGCCACTGTGAAGTGAGATAATTTTGCTAAATTATAAAGTAACCATAAATACAATTAAAAAATTGTATTAAAGGCAACATCTAAATTTATTCACCTCATATGAGAGAGGACATATGAGAAATGTGAGTTTTCTTTTCATTTTCTCTTCATATGTGGAGAGAAAATTTGGGGAGAAAATGATGTGAGTCCTGCATACTATTTTCTCTTCCTTTTTTTTTTCCTCCCACTTTTCTCTCCTCATCCAAATAAAAAAAAATTCATTTCTCTTCTTATTTTCTTTTATAGTTTTCTCTCCTCCCTCCTTTTCCCTCCATCCAAACAAGGGCTTAATCAAAATTAAACCTCCTACGTTCCTATTTCCCTCCTACATTATCTCTCCCACAATCTATTTTTAAAACTTTAAATTCACCAAGATAAAATTTTCCTCGTTTTTATAACTTGCAGTAGATATCTATTAGAACAAATATCGAAGGTTTGACTAGCGGCAGTTTCGTATTTTTAAATTTGGTCCTTCTAAATAATTACATATTTTATAATCCTCTACAATAAATATTATTTTTTCTGGGTTTTTTTTGTCAATTTTTTGAGAAAATATCAGAAAGTTAAAGTTATTATGCTTAGGAAAAATTCCAATTAGATCCCGTTGAAATACCAAAATTTGGATTTAGGCCTAAACTTTTAATAAATTTTCAATCAGTCCAAGAGGTTTAATTAGAGATTTTTTTAGTGTTGTTAAAAAGCTAAAATACCCTTCAATATAGTTTTAAAAAAGATTGAAAGTTTAGGATCCTTGATCAACCTCCCCCTTTTTACCAAGAGGCGGAAGGTGATGTAGGAGGTTAAGCTTCTTTGCTTTGTTTTGTATTGACTTGCTGATCTAGCTCTGTATTCAGTTTTTTACTCAAAAAAAAAAAATTGAAAGTAGGTATATGCCTGATTTCAACTTTGATTATTTAAGTTGGATTTAGTTCAAATTTTATTTTTGTTTTTAGTTAGAGAATTAGCAAACGTAAACTTTTTATTCCTGTACATAATTTTACCTTGCATATAAAAATACTCACAAGCATTTATCATATATATATATATATATATAAAAAATAGATCATTATGCTGTTACATAATATATCACAAATTTTTATATTCATTCCAAAAAATAGGCAGAGGAGGAAAAGTTTATAGGAATGGGAAGAGAATCCTCCAGCAACAGCGGCAGCGAAGGCCCCCTTCAGCAACGGCCCGCGGCTCCCGTCGGCAACGACGGTAATGGTAGCCTACGAGATGACGATGGTTTCTCCCGCGACAATGATGACAACCTTCGATCTGATTTTTGTTCTCCTCGTTTTGTATAGATCTGGGTCTTCGAGTTCACCTTCAAACACTCCAACTTTTGCTGCTGGTACAACAAAGTCATTAATTCTGCAAAAATGTGAGCTTCACGATATTGCTGGTCAGATCTCGTTCTTATTAACTAGTGGGTGCAAAATGACAAGGATGCTTTTTGTGATTTGGTTTCATATTTCCAAGAATTGACCTTGTTGATCATCGGTATTCAGGGTGGTGGCCGGTGGTTCCATTGTGGACATATGTGAGGGGTGGCAGCGGTGGGTTGAGGGGCAAGTTTTTTGTTTCAATAACGAAGTTGTTTTTTTTTTTTTTAAAGAACAAGGGTGCTTTACATAAAAGTTCCATGTGCATGCCAAACATATTTTCAAACCTTAATTCCATATCCATATCCATATCACTATAGCAAAAGGGTCGTAAGAGTCTTAAGCCGTTTCCATGAATACTGGAAAATGTACGAGGTTACCAGCTATGGAAAGCATACAGATGCTCGATGTTATAGTCGAGTCCGTGCTACTTCTCTTGTTGTTGATAACTTCGCCGGCAACGATGATTCCATTGCGTGCATGAACTCGATGTCTCTTGCCAAAGCTTCCAGTATTTCGTACGAGGCACACAGCTCAATGTCAAAACTATCTTCTTCTAGTCCAGCATCAGCAGCCAACTTCCACAGCTTTGCATTGGCTGGGCCGCCGCGAACCGCCACCGGCTTTCCCCAACCAAAGTCAATGTCATAAAAGTTGACTCTTGGGGAGCTGCTAGTTCCCATACACTTCCCAATTGTTGCACGTTGTAAACGCATTATTGGATTTCGTATCCAAGCTTCAAAGTCGCTCTTGATCTTTTCTTCTGTGAATGATGAGACTGCCCTGTTCATCTCCGAAGCAAACTTCCCAAAGCCTCTGTCTCCCACTAAGTCCCTTACTTTCATCGTCACGACGGCGAGTTGCACAGTGATTCCGAAATAGTCCTCTGGAATTGGTGGGTGGGAAACTCTGGATCCTGCAGATATGAGGAATCTGTAAGTGACTTCCTCTTCTGGGTCAAGATTCTGATTTCTGATCACAGACCTCCAAACAAGGGCTACAATAGCTTGTAAGGAGGAGATTTTGTTGCTGTTGACACTATCATTGACCTCTGAATTAGCTTTAGCTTTCATCTCAGCAATTTTTTCTCTTTTAAAGTGAAAGATCCTCCTGGAAAATGGAGGTGATGGCTGAATCAAATTTATTGGCTCCTCGAGATGATTCTCTATGATTTTTTTGGATGAGATTGCTATGGGCCGGTGAATGTCACCATGAGGAAACCACCGTTCAAATGAAGCGAGCTTCGAATTTGGGGCTATGTGGTTGAGGCCATTTCGAGAGATCTGAGCCCATGCGTTTAAGAAATTCCAGTACGGCTTCACATCAGCAAGACAATGGTTCATGGAACAAGCGACGAAGACGCCATCTGCCAACTGTGTGACTTGAACCGCCACTAATGGAACTCGAACTGCTTCAAAGTTCTTGACATTACTTGATGGGAAAAAGGAGGAGACAATGGGAGGAACATAAGTGGGTTCAACAATGTCAGCAACTGTAGTGTTCCCTGCTCCGGCATTGTTACAAGTGATGAACAAAAGTTACTCCGGCATTGTTACAAGTGATGAAGACGGAGGATCAGTCAAGGTTGCCGCCATGGGAGACAACAAGAAAACGGCCGGCGAGCGGCAGAAAGAAGTCGAGGGTGGAAGAAAGCGAGTCCTTTAACTGCTGGATTACTGTTTCTCCAAGTATTGAAGACGATGATGATGAGGCGGGTTTGCGAAAGAGAAGTCCCTTTTGAGCATACTCAAGTAGTAGAAATTGAAGATCCCATGGATTCAGATCGATCTGTTGAGGTGAGTCGCCATGATTAAGGCCGCTTCGTGCTCTGATCGTAGTTGTGGAGATTGTTCGGACGGCCGCCATGGGACGCGTGGTGCGTGTAGGGTTTATCTTCAGTTGCTTAAACTCATCGCTGGCCTCCCGTGGATTTACAGCAGCCGAGCTCCTAGATGAGGCTGGTAGAACGGGCAAACCCTAGGTTGCGGGTTGGCCCCGTCACGAGTTGCGGGCTATACGGGTCGGGTTTAAAATGTTTGTTTTATGACAAGTTGGTATTCTGCCAACCTTAACCTACCAAGGTCGATTGGTGGGTCCTGCTAGATTTTTTTAAAATTTTTCCTTATAAATAATCAAAAATTAAAAAAATAAAAAATAATCTAAATTATTCCAAGCATTCGTTTAAAATTACAACACATTAAAACACAAATTTACGATTGTCCAAAGTCCAAAGTCTAAAATCCAAACATGATAAAAACACAAGTTCAAATATAAATTTTTCTAATAAAATCAACATGCAACAATGAATAACTATCTCGATCTAATTATATTTAATGGTGATGACATTTGAAGCTGGAGCATTGTTTGAAGCTAGCTCAATATTGATTTTGATAGTAATAGTTAGTAGGACTTCAGCTTTCTTACCTTTCTAGAATTCCAGTCCACCTCCTCCTAATATTTTATATATATATATATATAAAATTAGTCGCAGCGGCCTCAGATTGTAGCAGTGCGGGCTCATATTTTTCAGTGCTTCGCCCCGAAGGAGCGCCCCCCAATTGCCTAGTGCCACGGTTCGATCAATACAATCGAGCAGGGGAGCCATAATTAATAATAGCGTAATTTAGAATAGAAGGAATACAAGTATTATATTGCTTCGTCAGAGAATGGAAAAGAGAGCCTGCTACCTTTTCTGTGTTCAGTCAATCTACGCAGAGTGAATCGGTCCCTAAGGAACCCCCGAAAGGGCTGCCGTCCGATGCGTACACGAAAGTGATGAAGTTGCTTTGACTACAGAACCAAGCGTAAACTTCTTTCGTAAAGCATTGTTCAAGCGGAAGAAGGTGAGGAATCAGGCGGCGAAGAATCAGAAAGACTGGCCAAAGGCTAATCCTAACCTGTCATTTTTACAGGCTAGCGGTTGCGACCCGTGGATTTTTAGCTCCTACCTTCTTGACCATTAAGGGTATGTTTGGATTGGCGACGGGCAAAACTGACTTCTAGCTCAACTGACTTTTGTAACTGAAGTTAGAATAAAAGTCAGTTAGCGTATGTTTGGATAGATGTTTTTAAAAAATCAGTTAAAAAAGTTAAAAATTGTTTGGATGATTAATAAAAAAGTTAGTTTAGTTGTAAAATAACTGAAAATAACATAGACTTTATTGAATAGTAGTGTTTGAAATTTTATATTTTTAATGTGATAATAATTTAAAAAATACGTAAAATTATTATGATAAAATATAAATAGTTTATTTGTGAAATTATAAAATAAAAATATTTGTTACAAAGAAAAATTTGAAAACACATTGTAGATAATTAATTAAATATACATAATGGATAAACATGAATATAAATTAAAATTCATTTGGTCTGAATAAAAGTTCATTATACTAATGAAGGAGATGAGGCAGAGGGGAAAATGTGAGGGTAAATCTAGAATGCTCATTTTTAATAATCACAGTTTGAAACTGTAGTTTGAAAAGTTTCCAACTGAGATTGAAAGCCAGAAGCTGGTTGAAAAAGTTAGCCCAACCAAACAATAGTTTTTGTCCAACTCAGTTTGTAACCTCACTTTCACATATTCCAAGACACTTTTACAGTTTCTAAATGTAATCCGAACATGCCCTAATTCTTCCTGTGGCTTTTTTGGTATCCCATGGAATGCCCGCCCCCATAATGGGATCCGCCCTTCCAAAGTTGTAATGATGGTTGGGGGCGCTGGTAAAAAAAACAATTGATGGTTGGGGGCATCATGATCTGTCTATTGCGTCATGATTGGTTGCAAATCCACCTTCTTTCTTCTTTCTTTGATCTTCTTGGAATCTCTACTCCACTTTTACAATAAAAAATATGAATGGTTTATACAAAAAAACAACTATTAGAATGATATGGATTAAAACATTAGTTAAAAATAATTAGAGTTAATATAATTTTTGATTCTTTAAGTTTGTCCTCATTTTGATTTTGATTCTTCAAATTTCAAACCATATGAATCTGTTTCATATTTGATTTTACTACTTTAAATTTGCATGGTATTATCCGTTTGGTCTATGTTTCCTTTTTTTTTTTTGTTAAAGTATAGATATCCTTCTATTGGAGGTAACTCTATTCGAGGTATTGTTGGGTATTAAATGTGGGTACCTCTTCTAGTAGGATTCAAATCTTAGTTCGTGAGGGACTAACCTCTTCTGCTAGACTTAACTCCCATTAATGTCGATGTTTCTTTTGATCGCTTCATTTGGGTCATGTCTGTACCTGTTTGTTAGTAGGAACTGGGCTTTGGCGTCTTATCATGTTTTCTTGTTCTTGTATGAAACAATTTTACTACTACCCCTTGTTCTTAATAATTAATATAAGAGTTCATTGACTAGTTAATTCAGTTGGAAAAGAGTCAGTTCATAACTCATAAGATCATGAGTTTGATTCCTATTGCTGATGTAAGAATCTTGTTAGCAAGCGATCTGTAAGTACCTTTGTAGGCATTTTATGGGTCTGAAGACATGTCCTGACCCTAATGAGATATCAAGACCCAACTCATCTAAACTTTGTTTCTAGAAACCAGTTTCAGTACTTATTGTAGTGATGAACACCATGATACTCATCGTTGTAGTGAAATATAAACCGTTCAAATACAGTTTTAATGTTCTAGATTTAAAATTTTCAACTAATAATTTTTAAATAAAAATTTATTTTTAAAAAACTTATAGTTAAAAGATTACATTTAATTTGGATTATGTACCTATTAAAATTTTTTTAAAAAAATATTAAATTTGAATGATTGAAATTTAATAAGTATCATGGTGCTTATCATTGTAATGATGAGCCCTGAAATTGGTTTCTTATTTTTACCCAAAATTTTTTTCATTTTATCAATATTTATATGCTTGATTAAGTCTTTGTATATTTTATTCTTTTAAATTATATAAAATTTTATTAAATTTAAACAATATACAAAAAATCTCCTTAACCTTTAAAAATTAATAGTAAACCTTTCAAAACTTTCAAGTCTATGCGGATAACACTTCACCATCAATTATATACCTCTTAAATTTTATTTTTATGTGCATATAGCCTACTCAAAGTTTGAGTTATATGCACATAATCCCAATAAGCTTTAAGCTGCGTGTGCAAAGAAATGAATAAAACTAATCGTAGGAGAGTTATCCGTATAAATGTGAGAGTTTATGAGTGTTCATTCTGAAACTTCAAAGATTATGGAGGTTATTTGTACATAACATAAAGTTTATGGAACTTATGTATAATTTAAACTATTTTTTAATGCTTTCTTTTAGTATTAAATATAAGGACCCAGTTTACTTTTTCTCTGATATACACCTAGTTTAGAAATTGATATACTATCTTATGTTACGCCGAGTATTTTAGAGAGTTTATATTACATTTTTTATAATTAATTAATTAATCTTTCTTTTTTAACATATTGAAATTAATTAAATAGAGTATTATAATAAAATGACATGCATAAAAATCCGTTATATTTATGATGCCAAAAAAATGCGTCCTATTTAATGTTGGAACTGGTATGCAAAAAATATAATGATCATCTTTACAAATTGCAAGTGGAGCTCATATTAAATCATATGTAAATGTATGAACCCACTGTAGCCTCTATTACATTTTGAAATTTATTTAAAACTAAACTACAAAAAAAAAATCCTATAAAATTTTGGAAAAATGACACAAAAATAACACTTAAACTTAGAAATCCTAAAATGATCACTTGAATTTGGAAAATTCCAATTTAGGTATAAGTGACCAATTTGGGATTTTTAAATTTGCTGAAATGACCATATTAGGCTTTATTTTATTTTCTGTTTTTTAAAAAACCAAATGCCCCACTGGCTTGCTAGTCGCCGAAGCTCCCTAAAGGTAGATGTTAACAAGTCATGTAACAATATTAACAACTCTCATAAAGTTAGATGTTTTTAATATTAGCTGCTTATGATAGTTGTACAACAAAATTTTTTCACTTATCAGGCAGCCATTATGGTTATGAGAGTTGTTAATATCATTACATAACTTGTTAACTGCATTACTAAAATTGTAAAAATGACATTTTTGAATTTTTTAGAAAATCTATTGTTAAATACTATACCGAACTTGTTAATAGAGTTACGGAACTTGTTAACGGCATATTAAAGTTGGCAACATACTACTTTTTGAACTTTCTCAAAAACCTGTTGTTAACTGCTATACTAAATTTGTTAATAGCGTTACAAAACTTGTTAACCGTTTTACTGAAATTGTAAAAATTTTCCAAAACAGTGGTTACTAAAGTTGTAAAAATACTATTTTTTTGAATTTTCTAGAAAACTTGTTGTTAAATACTATACCAAACTTGTTAATAGAGTTACGAAACTTGTTAATGGCATTACTGAAGTTGTGAACATGTTACTTTTTGAATTTTCTGAAAAACCTGTTGTTAATAGTGCTACAAATCTTGTTAACCATTTTACTGAAATTGTAAAAATTTTCAAAAAAAATTGTTGTTGACCGCTGGCGGCACCGAAGCTCCAGCGACCGGCTGGCCAGTGGGGGCATATGGTTTTTTTAAAAATAATAAATAAATAAAGGACAATATGATCATTTCAGTAAATTGACAAGTCCCAAATTGGTCACTTATGCCTAAATTGAGATTTTACAAATTCAAGTGACTATTTTAGAATTTTCAAGTTTAAGTGTCATTTTTCCTAAAATTTTGGCTATATACAAATAACACTTTAACCTTTATAATTTAATAATAATAACTCTCCGAATTTTTTTAAATTTGTGCAAATAACCCTCAATCATTAATTATTCTCTTGAGAGAGGTGATCACATAGTGCCCGACCAAATCCTTGATTCGGATT